GGCCCACAAGTTCAAGCCAGTTTCTGTTTGCTTCGTCACTTCAACTGCGAACATCTATGACCCAAGTTGGGAAAAGAATCTTCCAACATCTTCCTTAGATGCCAGGTACAGTCTTTGACATTAACTTACTTGCGTTCTTTTTATGCAAGATTGAAGAACTAGAATATATATTTTTATTTCTTACATCCCAATTAAAAAATATGTGTTTTTTAGCATCTATAGGACAGCTTCAACGTCTAAAAATAATATTTGATGATATAGAAACTGCAGTGACCTTGTTTTGTGTGTGGTTGATCTGAACTTTCCTGAAAAAAGGGGAGAAAAATTTAAATAATCTTAGAATCGAACTTTACAACTGGCCCTTTAAATCTACAAGTTAGCTAAAACGTGAAGTAATCCCCATGAATCTTTTCATCTCATGTCGTCTGTGTGTGACTGTACTACAGCAGCACCTGAGGAGCTGTTTATTTTGTTGGTAAGGTTATCTCTTTGTATTATCAATTCTCGTTTTCTTTTATTTTTGTCGTAGTTATTTGATTTTCTTGATCATTTTTATGGATTCTTCAAAAGATGAGAAACGATTTATCTAATTTGGAGATCGACTTTTATTGTGCCTGAGGGTAGCAGCATATTTCAGAGGTGGGTTTTGAGGACACCGACTTTGCACTGGTTCTGAACTTTTGAACTCTGAATTAGGAAATTATGGAGTTGCTCTTCGGCTGTTAATTTGTGTGCTACCCTTTTCCCCCTTTTCACTGTATTTTTTAGTTTAGTGCCATTTACTTCTATGCACTTCCACTTCAATTATTTTCCAGAGACCAAGATACAACCTTTTATTAGTTTTGAAAATCTGTAACAAATAAAGTTGTACCATTTTTTTCTGCAGAGTTGCTATTGCAATTGGACAGCGACGATTGTTCAGTAATTTTAGCAGAATGGGTCAAGAGTTGTTTTCAATATTTCAGCTGGAAAGAAAGAGGCTATTGGGGCTTATCTGCATTACAATTGCAATAATTTTAGCATTCCAGTATTTGGAACTTCCTTATGATGCTGTTCAACCCACTGCGTTCTCTGGCAACAAGATACCAACGTCGGATAGCATTAGATTCCAAGCTGCAAATCCACCATCCATGTCCGAAACATTTAAAAATATGACATTTTTTAATCAAGCAAATTCTACTGCTGAAAATGCCATTGAGATGGTTAATGAAAACAAGACTTCTGACGTAAAGGACACAGTTTCAAGCACTGGTTTAATCTCAGAACCAGCAAGGGAATCAGGCAGATCTTTAGAATTTGACGTAACTGATGGAGGTTCCACTGTGAAAAGTATTGCGATATCAAACAATGGTTCTGCAACAGATCAGACAGGGAATCTAGGCCTCAGCATTTACAACAATACTGTTTCTCATTCCCCTTCCCATTTAGCTCCTCTAACTCCAATAGAAGTGATCCAAAATATTACGTCTCCAATGTTGTCAAATGATTATGATGAAACTGAATTCAGGGAGGATGAGAGGTTCAAGCCACAACAAGATGATGTTAAAAAAGAACGCAATAATTCTTCTATCAATATTATGCCTAAGGAGATTGAAGGTTCTCAAATTCCAGTTCCACGAGTAACAACAATCTCTGAAATGAATGAGTTACTGCTTCAGAACCGTGCCTCGTATCGTTCAATGGTAAATGATTTAATGCCATGGTGGTTGTTTCATTTTATAACTTATTATCATATCATATTCTTGAGTTCTGTTCTAACGTTGCGAACTTTTTTCTAGAGGCCAAGGTGGTCTTCAGCTGTTGATCAAGAGCTGCTGCAGACCAGATCAGAGATTGAAAATGCACCAATTGTTACTGATGATGTAAATCTTTATGCTCCCCTTTTTCGAAATGTTTCCAGGTTCAAGAGGTATATCCTTTGATTTTTGTGGTTCTATATTTTGTTTCAAGAACATGTTCAAGAAGCATCTCCGGGAAGAAAAATTCTAGCTCGCAATCTACAAGTGTATATCTTTGCAATGATATTATGAGCTAAAATTTTATGGACAGCGAGGAACAGTTGCTATTTATCATTCAGTTAAGTGATAACAAGTAAACTCGCCGTACAAGATTATAATTCAATGAAATTGCTCCATTTCTGGATGTTGAAAACTCTTCTGGCTATTCAGAATAACAAAATTGTTTCAAAATAAATTGCAGATATGTGCATTTTATAAATGTGCAGCAAGAAACAACAATATATGAAGCAAGATTCTTATGGAGATATACTTAGTTTGTGTTTTAACATTGGTACTAATTATCTCGTCACTGTTACTTGCTAGGAGCTATGAATTAATGGAGAGAACTCTCAAAGTGTATGTGTATAGAGAAGGAGCTAAGCCCATAATGCATTCACCATATCTTTTGGGAATTTATGCTTCCGAGGGATGGTTCATGAAGCAGATGGAAGCTAGTAAACAATTTGTGACTAAAGACCCAAAGAAGGCCCACTTATTTTACTTACCTTTCAGTTCTCGGATGCTAGAGGAAACTTTATACGTACAGAATTCACATAGTTCTAGGAACCTGGTTCAATATCTGAAAAACTATGTAGACATGATTGCCGGGAAACATAATTTCTGGAACAGAACAGGAGGTGCTGATCATTTCCTTGTTGCTTGCCATGACTGGGTATATATGCGTTTCCTACTTCAACAAATGTCTCTTTTCTTCTGTATCAGTTTATTATTTGACAATCATTAATACTACTATTACCACTTTAATGGCATGCAACAGAAGCCTGCATTGGTAAATATTGTATCACATTAATCTTCTTTATTGTATCTTCTCATAAATTATACCTGTTGGCTACAATATGCAGGCCCCTACAGAAACAAAGAAACACATGAGTAGGTGCTTAAGAGCCCTATGTAATGCTGATGCGAAAGAAGGTTTTGTCTTGGGGAAGGACGTGTCTCTTCCTGAAACGTATGTCCGCAATGCTCAAAGGCCCACTAGAAACCTTGGTGGAAACCGGGTTTCAAAGAGGAAAACTCTGGCGTTTTTTGCAGGGGGGATGCATGGTTATGTTAGGCCAATCCTGCTGCAGCACTGGGAAAATAAAGACCCCGACATGAAAATCTTTGGGGTACTGCCAAATTCTAAGGGCAACAGGAACTACATCCAGTACATGAAGAGCAGCAAGTACTGCATTTGTGCAAAGGGCTATGAAGTCAACAGTCCAAGAGTTGTGGAGGCTATTTTCTTTGAATGTGTGCCAGTAATTATATCAGATAACTTTGTGCCTCCATTTTTTGAGATGTTGAATTGGGAATCCTTTGCTGTTTTTGTGCTGGAGAAGGATATTCCAAATCTGAAGAGTATACTCCTTTCCATCCCACAAAAGAGGTATCTTCAAATGCAGATGATGGTGAGGAAGGTGCAGCAACATTTCCTTTGGCACAGGAGCCCTGTCAAGTATGATATATTCCACATGATACTCCATTCCATTTGGTACAACAGAGTCTTCACAGCAAAAGCTAGATAGATCATCTTGAAGACGTGGTCAAAGTCGACCTTTGGGAAGCAAAAACATTCCCAGGTCATTTTTTAACGTGTATTCTTTTGGTGTAATTAAATTTGTATATATTTTTACTCCACGTTGTCTTCAATCATTCATATATAGTGCTCCTACAAACCTTCTTAGATTCAGATTTTTTTTTTTTTTTTTCAAGTTCCCTCAAATTTTCCTTCATTACAAATTTTAATTAAATGTCAATAATACTCTGAATTTCTTTTCTTATAATCTTTTCATATTTCTTGTATTGTTTACATTTTCACTATGTAAGCATTTGTTGATTCGTATTTGATTTGTGTGAAGACAAAATAGTTCCTTATAATTTGATTTGTATAAGAATTATTATAAATATTAGTTTATTTGTGAATAAAATTGTTTGTCCCGTGGTATATGCGCTTGGAAAGATATTGCAAGTAATATAGCTTTTCAAATGAGTAACAAAATTTATAATTTTTTTTATCCTTACATTTATTTTTTATCGTCTAATAATTTTTATTTTTACTTAAAGCATATTTAACCATCATTTTTAAACTGTGTAAACATTTTTTACAAAGAGAAAATAGGTTGTTGTAATTTGTAATTGATTATTTATATAAACAGAAATAATTCATATTTAAGACTAGAGTATATAAAATGGATCTAATTTGATGTACTATTTTAAAAACTTCATAAAATAAGTGAGATTAAGGCAAAATTTGATGATATTTAGATTATTTTTTTCAATCCAATTAATTCATATTTTAAGTTGACTTAGGTCAAATTAAATGATATATAAATAAAAAGATATATTTTATAAAATAATAGTTAAATTTTATAAAATATTATTTATTAATATATATATATATATATATATATATATATATATATATATCAAATTATTATATCTAAAATCAAACCTAAGAAATACAACTAATTTAAAATACGGACCGAATTTAACACTTCACAATTAAATTAAATAATGTTTTGTTTGAATTATATTAAAAAAAATAAGTTATAAAATAAGTATTTTTTTTATTCTTTATTTATTTTTTCTTAAATCTAAGTTACCTGTGATTTCAATTTGGACATTAGTGTGGGACCTATTCATGTCTTGATTCCTTGATTTCCTCCGTTCTTCCATTCTTCTGTTTTTCCTTCCTTCCCTGTCTCACCTGTTGCAGATCTTTTCCCTGTTTTAACTTACGACAGAGATACTCACAGACACAGATCCCATTTCCAATGTGTGCCCCTTGTCGATCCGATAGTCCAATGGACCCTTTACATCTTTCTCCTCTGTTTCTCTAGCCAAATGAATCACTCCATGTTTCACCTCCCTCTTTGAAAAAAACCCTCGCGAAAGTTATTGACTTTTCTATGTCAATCTTAATGGATTTGCTTCAATTTCTTCTTCTGATCTCTCTGCAGTGATGTGTTAACCATTTTTGCCTCCTTTTCTTAGATTGTCATGGATCGGGGGTTTAGATTTCTGAGTAAGGCTGAAACTACGAGATTAGTTTCATTTGTGGGAATAACAGTGGCCATAGTTTTGATGGTTCAGTATTCTGAACTTCCTACTAGCAAATTATTATCTTCTGTTACCACCAAGATTACTAGTTTCAGAATGGAGACATCTTCGGTTAATTATAAAGTTGACGGTAACAATATGCACCTAAATGGTTCAAATTCAAACTCTAAAGATGCACTGGAAGAGGAAGCAATTGGTCCTCAGGCCTCCCTCTTTCACAATGGCAGAGATTCAACTACTGCCCCTGCACCAGAGAAAGCTAAAGGACTTGTGGACAGTGTTGTTAATTTCACAACCAGAAATGATGGTTCCCCATTGGGTAGTGCTCAGCAAAAACAAATTAATTTGACATCACAAGGGGCTGCATCACCACAACCTGTGGTGTCATTTCCCAACAGAACATCGTTAGATTCAGAAACGGCTTCAAGAAGTCCTGTGGTATCTGTCACTTCACCTACTACTTCAGTGGAATCAGATACAAATGGTTTAGTTTCCAAGGATGGAAACTCAGGTTCTGTGCAAGGTAGTAGCAATATGAAAGTGAATAATGGTAAGCCTCTGAGTGCAAAGAATTCCAAAAAGAGACCATCTAAAGTTGTTTCAATATCTGAGATGAACTTGATGTTGCAAAATAATCATGCGTATTCTCAGCTAGAGGTATGTTTAGGAAGATTGGTCATAAATGTAAGGTAAGTATAGATTGAATTATATCATTCGACGAGTTTCTCTAATTTATTCTGTTGTTGTTTATAGAAATCAGCAACATTTTCAGCTGTTGATACGGAAATATCGCATGCAAAATTAGAGATTTTAAATGCACCCATCATCGTGAATGATTCAAGACTTTATCCACCATTATACAGGAATGTCTCCATGTTCAAAAGGTATGATAAACAAGTATCATTTTCAATGCAGGGATCTACTATTGAGCCAAACCACTCTAATAGTTATGCTATTATCTTGATCTGACTTGTCATCTATTTATTTCTGAAGAGAAAACTTGATCTAATCAGTGACGAGAAAACAGCTTAATATACTTTAATGAAAGACTGGCATTTAAAATAGGTTGAGCTGCTGGAATATTGTATAAATGCATGAATCTGGTTTAAGTGCACCTTTTCCTATGGATTTTTCACCTGTAACCACTGAGTTTGATAATTAAACCTTTGAATTTTTTACATGCTGATTTGGTTTCAGTGAAATGAGTCATTCATTACCAAGCTAGGTCTTTTTCCATGTCGTATACAACAATATTAAACTAACAGAATATATGACATATACAATTATATGTAATTAGGTTGCATCAAGTTATTATGTGGGAATAGCATCAAGAACAAAACTTAGACAGGACATTCTGTTTACATATTTTTGTGTTGGAACATATATGAAGAAATGGGAAAGATGAACGATATATACAGAGGAAGACCTATAAACCAATTGTATTATGATATTAAGTTGAAGTTGGTATGATGTTCTCTTATTAGTGTGGCTCGTGACCATTGGTAAAAAAGATCTCCCCTTGTGTATGGGCCTGTAAGTTGATTATCTTGCTGTTCATGTTCTTCCTAAAAGAATTCAACTAGCAATGTTTGCATCCTGCAGGAGTTATGAACTAATGGAAATGATGCTCAAAGTTTACATCTACCCTGATGGAGACAGACCAATCTTTCACGAGCCCTTACTGGATGGAATATATGCATCTGAAGGATGGTTCATGAAATTAATGGAAGCAAACAAACAGTTTGTCACTGGGGACCCTGAGAAAGCTCACTTGTTTTACATACCTTTCAGTTCAAGATTGTTGCAGCAAACTCTCTATGTACGTAACTCACACAGACGTTCAAACTTAATTGAGTACATGAAAAATTTTGTGGACATGATTGCTGGAAAGTATCCTTTCTGGAATAGAACTTCTGGAGCAGATCACTTCGTTGTTGCTTGCCATGATTGGGTACGATTCTTCATGTTTATGCAAATTATGATTAATGCATTTGCTGCTTTTGCTTCCCCTTTCATCAGAACTACAATTTTCTTCATGCAATTTACAGTAAAGAATATGGTGTGTGTCTGTGTTCTCGCTCAATGTAACCAGTAAAATATTTACACTTTTAGATTGTGACAAATAGCAATTACTGCATTTCCTATTATTAGTTATGGACTAGTATTTTCCATATGGCACGCCTACACTATCATGATTGAATCATTAATTTCTGTTGAAGCAGTATCACCAGTAATTGAGTGGAAGAGTATTTAACAAGCGCCATTTCTCAGGCTCCTGCAGAAACAAGAGGGCGCATGCTCAGTTGCATAAGAGCCCTCTGCAATGCTGACATTGAAGTAGGATTCAAGATAGGGAAGGATGTTTCTCTTCCAGAAACATACATAAGGTCAAGTGAGAATCCTGTCAAAAATATTGGGGGCAACCCTCCTTCTCAAAAGCCTATCCTGGCATTTTTTGCAGGAGGTTTGCACGGTTATGTTCGGCCTATTCTGTTGGAGCACTGGGAGAACAAAGAGTCTGACATGATAATTTCTGGGACCTTGCCACATGTCAGGGGCAATGCAAACTACATCCAGTTCATGAAGAGCAGCAAATTTTGCATTTGTGCAAGAGGTCACGAGGTTAATAGTCCACGTGTGGTAGAGGCTATATTCCACGAGTGCATTCCAGTTATCATATCTGACAATTTTATTCCTCCTTTGTTTGAGATTTTGAACTGGGAATCTTTTGCTGTGTTTGTCACGGAGGAAGAAATCCCGAATTTGAGGAACATACTACTATCCATTTCTGAAGACAGATACTTAGAGATGCATAAGAGGGTGAAGAAGGTGCAAGAGCATTTTATCTGGCATGCTGAACCTGTAAAGTATGATTTATTTCATATGCTTCTTCATTCAATTTGGTACAATAGACTTTTCAAATAAGCCAGACATGATCATCTATCAATTTTGTAGAAAACTCATTTTGTAGGATTGATAACTTTTGTTGGGTAAATGGCATAAGTTATACAAAACTTATAGATACCAGCACTGGTTTTATTGGTAGTGTTGGATAAAACTTACAAATGTACGTCTTTACAGCATGATTCATTTAATCCTACAGTAATTGTTTGCTATTCACACAAGGGATGGCAAATAATCTGCAGTTCTTTCAGCATTCTGAATTACATCATCATCACCATCATCATGAGTTCAAGTCATATCTTTTGATCAGGTTTATTGACAGATTTAACTTAGGTCTTCTCTAAAGAGGTTATGTTGTTAAGGTTCAAATTTCAGACATAGTTGATAAAATTTACCTATGTCATAGTTCACTTTAATCTTGGCCATTTTTTAAAATTTAATGCAGTGTATTAAACTGCTGGAAGCAAAATATTACCAAAAATCAAAACTATTTATTTCTATTTAATGAATGCAAATTTTTCACTTATTAATAAGTATTTAGTGCATTATATTCTTAATCAAATAGTTTTTATATAATAAACAAAATTATATTAAATAAAAATAATAAAAATATATTTTATTAAAGATAAATATAAAACTATAATTAATATAAATTTTAAACCATTCTTGTAAATTATATCGAGTATCATTCACTGCCTTACTCGCCTTAAATTGTAAAAAAAAATTGCATAATTTCTAAGTGAGATCCTCATAATTAAGTATATAATCTCTTTAGAAAGATATTCATTTTAATATGAATATCTTCGTGTTTCATTATATTATTTAAACATAGATTTTGTCGCCTATATAAGGGATATTAAATTTCATATGCTAATTTGAATACCAAAGTTCTCATTACAACTGTTCTTCCCAATCCACAATTGAAGAGAAGCTTGCTTTCAATTAGGTCAAATGCCCTTTTAATATGTCTATTTACTTATAAATAATATATTTTACACACACATATATATATATATATTATCATGTTTATACAATTACGTTGGGCTCCAGTATCTATTTTTATTATTATATACAGATAAATTTATTTATTTTTTAATAATTTTTGGAATTATCATCTATAAAATTGTACTATCTTTTATTAATTAAAATTAATTAATTGTATTATAACAAAGAATAAAATATATTTATATATATATATATAATATGTTATAGAAATTAAGAAAAAAAAACACGTGATAATCATAGGAAGTAAATATATATATATATATATATATATATATATATATATATATATATTTTATAAAGAAGAGGGAATATGTTATACACATACCAAATATAAAATTAAATTTTAAAATTAATTATTTAAAATTTTAAAAATATAAAAACTTGGATATAGTTTATTTATTTATATTATATAACATTTATTTTATTTTATTTATAATATTTTTAAAATATAGAGATTATTCTATAATCATATTTATATATTTTATTTTATTTCATATTATGATTTTTATAATTTTTAAATATATACTTTTATTTATAATTTTTAATATTATTTTTTTAAAATATGATACACCAACATTTTTTACGACGTTAGAAAGTAAATTGTCCCGTGCCCGTCACAACTACCTTAACTAGCTCATTTTAGTTCTGATTTTCTAAATTTTAAAAATTAAATTAGTTTCTCAAAATGAAAAATATAATTCTATTTCTTAAATACTAAATTTTAGAAATTAAAGATAAATTTAAATTAAATTATGGTTAAATTTATCTCAAATTTAATGAAAAAATAAATATTTTATCTTAGAAAAAAAGAGAGGTACATGAATGTGTGTGTACGAACCTGTTACACGTGTTCCGACCACCTTACATGAAAGTCAGTGAAAAAAAAAATGTTTTGAGAAAAAGAAAATAAAGAGTGGTCCCCATCTTAAAAGATATCTCTGTTAGCTCAAAATCTTCATGGTCTTCCAAGATCCAACCCAGTTTTGAATCCACCTGTGTTTACTCTCTTGTTACCTCTGATCAAATCTCTTTCATACTCCGATGTTCTGCTTTTGTTTTAGAACTTTGCTAGTCTTTTTTTCTCCCTGAGTTGGGTATCTTCGTATAACAGAGAGAATAAATTCTCCTGGAAAGCCAAAGCCAAAGGTGATGATTGAATGAATAAGAGCAAATCTAAGATGAGCAGGCAATGAATTGGATTCAATCAGATCTAATCTATAGACTATTGTAGGTAATTGACAAAGGCGAGTTATGGCTACAGAGATCAAAAGCACTATGGTGAGGGTCAAGTCAAGTGGCCAAGATGCTTCTTCCAAGCCGAAGATTGATTCTTTAGCTCTCAAGAAGAAGGTGATCAGCTCAACCAAACACCCACCTGTTTCGAAGATGAAGTCTGTCACCACTGTCACAAAATCTGAGGTATCATTCTCAACAAAAATTAAATATTAAAACACCCAACTTTTTGAATTATTGAAATGGATATGCGTGGTTTGAACTTTGAAGTTTGAATTTGTGGGTTCTGAATTCAGCAGCTGATCTTCATTGACTGTTGGAAATTGCATTGACTGTTAATTTTAGATGTTGCCGTGCTTGCTGCTTAGGGTTCATAATTCCAGGATTAAAAAAATTATTAGTGATTTAGGAGAGCTTGCATTTGATTTGGATTGCATATGTATTTACCTTCTCTCTTTTTTTTCCTAAACAAGGGGTATCATCATATAGCATTTGTTTTTTTAACTATAATTAATTAATTTCATTTAGGAAGGTTTGTGTTGTAACAAGTAGTTTTTCTGCTGCATAAACTTGAAGGTTAAATCAAAACAGGTAACAACATCATCAGCGCCATCGAAAACTATAACAAAGACAACTACTTCCAAAGTGAGAGAAAAGAAAGTTTACAGCCTGCTTGGCCAGAAACACGATCCTCCAGAACAGGTATTGAATCTACCTTAGTTGGTTCATGGAATTCTCAAACCAATGTCTGCATATGGAATCGGCTTGCACTCATCTTTGTGTTTTTTTTTTGTGATTTATGTTAACAGAAAGAACCCCTGAGGATTTTCTATGAGTCGTTGTCAAAACAGATACCAACAAGTGAAATGGCGGAATTTTGGTGAGTTTTCTTTCAATCATACAGTAATCAACCCCCATTTTGGCTAATGTTATTTATTAGATGTGTGTTCTGTTTTGTAAAGATATGTTCCTATGCCAACTTAAATCCACGATAACCATTAGCAAGGTTGACCACAACGAATGTTCTGTTTTCATAAATCAAATTAATGTTTCATCCATTCACAAGTTGCCTTAAATTGTTTTATAAATATCTTGAACTATCAACTGAGAAGTGACTGTGGTTAACAAACTGCTATGGTCTCCATTTATATCTCTAACATTATCAACAATTGTGAGTGAGAATTCTTTATCTTCATTGTTTCAATGGTTTTCCCAACAAACCCATGATAAAGTATGCTAGCCCATTCTTCTCTGCTTTATTTCTCTTCATTTCATAAAGAGTGACATTTGTTGAAGAAAAACAATTAGAAGTATCTGTTTGGCTGACCAACTTGGTTTCCTCATACATGTATCGTGATAGGTAAGCATTTAAGCAGATACTTATTGGATGAGCTTTTTTAGAGAAGAATGAATACCTAATTCCATATTAATTATCATCAAATCTAAAAGTTTAAGTGGTAGTAAATTTCCTTTCCCAGACGAACCAAAACAGTTACATTCTTTGTTTTGTGACTCGTAATTTGTCAATTACAAGATTATATATTTTGTTTATTCTTTTTCAAGAACAAATTACTTTATTTGGTTTTTTTGAACATGTGAATTTTAGTTCATTTCTATAGCTGGCATTGAGTATCGCCACCATGTCTGTAAAATTTATAGACTGGTTTATCATGTTTCTGTCATAGTACACTCTGTAAGGTACAAAACCTCTTTGTTATTTGACCAAACAATTTGTATCTCAAGAAAAGTACTGCTTACACACTTTCATTATTATGACACCTTCATAGGCTTTTTTGGAGCCAAAATTTTGTGTTAACTTTAGAAGAACTAGCAACTTGACTCACGATGAGTGGTGACTAAAAAGTTATCAGCATACAGAATAAGTAGCAAAAGTTACAAGGAGTCATCTTTATTAGGAAGCTATCAGTGTTTTAGCAAAGTCAAATTTATAATTTGTTAATACCTTCCTACTAAAAAACAAGTGGAAATGTTCTAATATATTTAGTGTAAGATTTCGACTTAACACTAATTTTTGTAGTGTCATTTTCTGAATTTCTTATGAATTAAATCTTGCTCAGAAATTACAAATAGTAAGGAATATATCCCTCAATTTGCAGGTTAATGGAACATGGGTTGCTATCTCCTGAAAAGGCTAAGAAAGCATTTGAGAAAAAGCAGAGAAAGCAAAAGGAGCTTCGAACAGGAACTCCTGTGAAGATATCAAAGCCACCAACTAAGACTGAAACCTCACAGAGACAACAACAACAGGTATCAAAGAACGGAGACATAAAAGCCAAGAAAAGGCTTGTCAATGAGAGTGATGATGATGACGATTTCATTTTAAGTCATAAAAGAAGAAAATGGTAAGAGGAAGGAAAACCTCATAATGTTTATTAAAAAAAGAAAAGAAAAAGGTTGTACCTGATAAACAACCTGAAAATTCTTAGATAAAAACATTCTTCCATGTTTTTAACTTATTCATGCAATAATAAGGGCATGTAATTTAAGTGTCTCTTGGAATCTACGTTATGACAATGGAAATTGCTTCCTCTGTATACTCAGTGCCTTGATATTCATAATCATACTCTACGCCCCCGTTTGACTACCTCTTCTTTCTTCTAACATGTATAAAATGTTTCGGTTTAATCCAATCGATGTAATAATTCTTCGTACGAATTAGTTGCAAACATGTTCTCCAAAGAACATGCGTTTTTATAAATAAACATTGTGTTTATTTATTCATAAACAGACATCCTCTGAAATTAACTACCTATTCATAAATACATAATTAGAATAGTATCTTTTCATGTAAGGAAATAAGTACAATGTTATAAATTTTCATAAAATACATTAAATTTATTTAATGTGACTTCAAATTTTAGTTTTAAGTAAGCAAATCCATGGTAGAATTAATTTAATTCATTCATTCCATTATGTGACTCATGTGAAATATAATAATGGGCCCAAATGTGATTTAATAAAATATGAGGACCTATTGGTTATTATCTGAAGTCAGAATAAAATAAAGATAAAATAAAATATTAACTTACGGTAATCAACTTGATGGACGTTGGTTAATAAAAGGGATTAGGGTTACTGTCTCGGCCATAAGGTTTTTCACGGTAAACCATCAAGAAAGCGAAGCGTGAGAAGAGAAAGAAAGGCAAAGAGATAGATTGGGAAAAGGAGATAGGAGAACGAAAAGATCAAAGAAAATATTCTCATGGATCAAGATTAGTCTTCTTACTATGATTCATGTATTGATGTATGTAAAATTGTGAAAATCAATAATCTAAAGATCCTGTAGAGTAGTTTTCTATAATGAATTAAGAGCGTTAGGAAAACTACATAATGTCTTACATGTGGTATCAGAGCACTGATTATTAGATTTATGATTTTCCTTGTATGAAAGTTTTCCCAAATATTAAGTTTTTCCCAAATTAAGATAAACCCTAATTATGAATTTAGGGATTTCTTTATCAGATTAGTATGAACCCTAATTTATTCCCAAATTTATTTTTCTCAAAATTAAATAAAGGAATAAACCCTAATTATGTTTTCAAGTTCAAATTGAAACCAATTTTATAGCCCCTATGTGTGAAAGAACCCGTAATTGATTTTAATTGAAAAGATAAATGACGTGATAGGGTTAGGGTAAATAATGTATGAAATTAGTTTTATTGTATGTTATAATTATGATGGAAGAATGATAAACCAGTAAAGTTGATAAACTTTGCGCGTAGAGAGCACGTGTTAAACACACAGGTTTCATATATTATATTATATTATTTATAATATTATTTTGTATGTACATATTGGTGATTGGTGATCTATTGAAACCATTTTGTCCCTATATTATTTTGTCCTCATATTATTTGTACATTATTTTGTATGTATATTTTTTTTATGTGGTTGAAGGATAATTAAAGAGTTATTTTTTATGTTAAGGTGAGTTGTATAATATACTCATACTTGTAAAGTTTTGTTAAAAGTACTTGTAAAGTTTTGTTAAGAGTATTGTAAAGCTTTGTTAAGGGTACTGAAAGTTTTGTCAAGAGTACTTGAAAGCTTTGTCAATGTACTTGTGAAACTTTGTTAATGTACCTATAATGTAAACATTGATAAATGAATGAATTTTGTTTTGCAAACTGAATTGTATTGTTTCCAGTTGTGTTTAAATTACTCATAAAAGTTTTGAAGTTTTGAATGAATGACAATTTCACTTTTACGTGAAATGCAAATAAAGGTCTTGGATTCAAAATCAATCTTAGGATGAAAATTGAAATTATGAGTTTCAATTTTATTTATGACACATAATATTTTATTATGTGAATAATGTACATATTTATTAAAATTAATAAAAAAAATGCTATGAATGGTTAATAGCAATTAAAGATATTATTTATTTGAAATTAAGCATGATAAATTTTGTTAGTCACCAAAGTGGCCAAAATTTTAAGGTTATTTTGATTTCAAATTATTAATGATTTTATTTCAATTACCCATAGTATGAACGCTAAAATTATGAATATTTGATTTATGGGTTAATTGAAGTTCATTATTATAAAACATTTCAGGATCACCCAAAGGTTGATTAATTGTTATTATAATTAATGAGCATGAAGGTAGATAATTTTATGTGCATCACTAGTTTTATTTATATACTCAAAGGTGTTAGGTGATTCTAGTTGATGCATATTTTAATTATCATTAATGTTATAAAATGATTAGCGTAATTATGTTTGTGTATTGGTGGATCTCCCAAAGGAGAACATTAGTATGCAGAGAATGGTAATTTATGGTTGAATCTGTATATATGTTTAATTTTATGACTCAAAGTATTAATGTTAGGCATGTGTTAATTGTAGTATCTGTTCCTGTAGCTCTGCATTCGCTATCTTCGTTTGTTCCGAGTCTTTAATGGGTTAAATTTCCCTGATCTGGAGTGAACAAGTCCAATTTCACTTAGGTGTGTTGGATCTTGATTTGGCTTTCCAAGTTGAAAAACAGGTTGCTATCAGCGATGTCGGTAGTAATGAAGAGAAAACTCATTATAGAGCTTGGGAAAGATCAAACAGACTTAGCCTTATGTTTATGCGAATGAGTGTAGCAAGCAATATTAAGTCTGCTCTTCCCAAAGCTGAGGATGCGAAAGAGTTTATGAAATTTGTGGAAGAGCGCTCTCAAGCTGGCGACAAATCCCTCGTTGGGACATTGATGAGTACGTTGACCACCATGAAGTTTGATGGTTCTCGTAGTATGCATGAACACGTAATCGAAATGACAAATATCGCGGCAAGACTCAAGTCTCTTGGAATGGCGAGTGGAAGAAAATTTTCTTGTGCAGTTCATTTTGAACTCGTTACCACCTGAGTATGGTCCGTTTCGGATGAATTATAACACCATGAAAGACAAATGGAATGTGCATGAATTGCACGGTATGTTAGTTCGGGAGGAGACCGGACTCAAGAACCTAGGAAGCCACTCTATTCATTACGTGAAAAATCAAGGAGCTAAAAAGAAAGTTGTTAAGAAACATGGAAAGGGTAAAGGACCATTAAAGATTAACGAGTCCTCTACTAACATTCGGAAGAAAAATGACAAATGTCATTTACGCGGGAAGTCTGGACATTTTCGGAAGAATTTGTTTAAAGCGTAAAGCTTGGTTCGAAAAGAAAGGTGAGCATAGTGCTTACGTATGTTTTGAATCAAATTTAGCGAGGTTCCCCATAATACTTGGTGGATTGATTACGGATGTACAACTCATGTTTCTAATGTGATGCGGGGATTCCTTTCAACCAGAACCATAAACCCAAATGAGAAGTTCGTCTTCATGGGGAATAAAGTCAAGGTTCCGAGTGGAAGGCTGTCGGGACTTATCGTTTAATCCTTGACACTTGGATATCACTTAGACCTTATGGATACTTTTTATGTACCTAGTATCACTAGAAATTTAGTTTCTTTGTCTAAGCTTGATGTTGTTGGATACTCTTTTAAGTTTGGGAATAGTTGTTTCGGTTTATTTAAGCATACATGTATGATTGGAGCTGGTACACTTTATGATGGTTTATATAAATTGAATTTGGATAATTTATATGCTTGAAACTCTCATGACCTTGCATCATAATGTTGGCACTAAACGTAGTTTGGTGGATGAAAGATCTGCTTATTTGTGGCATAAGCGTTTGGGACATATTTCCAAAGAAAGAATGAAAAGATTAGTAAAGAATGAAATCCTTAGGATTTAGATTTTACTGATCTGAATGTATGTGTGGATTGTATTAAAGGTAAACAAACAAAACACACAAAGAAAGGAGCCACAAGAAGCACTCAACTTCTTGAAATCATACACACTGATATATGTGGTCCATTTGACGTAAATTCTTTTAATAAAGAGAAGTATTTCATCACTTTCATTGACGATTTCTCGCGTTATGGATATGTCTATTTACTATATGAGAAATCTCAAGCAGTAAATGCCTTAGAAAGTTATATAAACGAAGTGGAGAGGCAATTAGACAGAAAGGTGAAAATTGTCAGGTCAGATAGAGGTGGTGAGTATTATGGAAGATATGATGAAAGTGGACAACACCCTGGTCCGTTTGCTAAGTTCCTTGAGAAGCGTGGTATTTGTGCTCAATACACAATGCCGGGTACACCGCAGACAAAATGGTGTATCCGAAAGGCGTAATCGAACCTTAATGGATATGGTTAGGAGTATGTTGAGTAATTCATGTTTACTGTATCGTTGTGGATGTATGCTTTGAAAGCTGCCATGTATCTGTTGAACAGGGTTCCTAGTAAAGCGGTTCAAAAGACTCCTTTTGAGTTATGGACAAGTAGGAAACCCGAGTTTAAGACACCTACATGTTTGGGGTTGTCGAGGCGAAGTAAGAATTTATAATCCGCAAGAAAAGAAAGCTGGATGCAAGAACAATCGAGTGGATATTTCATTGGTTATCCAGAAAAATCAAAGGGGTATATGTTTTCTTGTCCTACTCATAGTACAAGAATTGTTGAAGCTGGAAATGCTCGGTTCATTGAAAATGGTGAAACAGTGGGAGTGAAGTTTCACGAAATGTGGAGATTAAGGAAGTTAGAGTACAAGTTCCAATAACTAGTACATCTTCAAGAGTTGTTGTTCCAAATGTTGTAGAATCATACGACAATCAAGAAGAACAACAAATTAATGATCCTGTGATTAACAATGATCCGATAATAGAACAACCACAGGAAATAGTATTAAGAAGATCTCACAGAGAAAGAAAGTCTGCTATTTCGAATGATTATGTGGTTTATCTACAAGAGTCAGAAAATGACCTAAGTATTGATAATGAACCAGTTTCATTTTCAGATGCCATTAATGG